CTACTCCATCTGCGTCCGGGCCCTGGGGGCTGGGAGGGTGCCTGAGGGCGAGGAGGCCTGCGGGGAGGCCCGCACTCCCCCGGCCGCCCGCTCCAACCACGCCCCGGTCACCCAGGCCCGCGAGGGCAACCTGCCGCTCCTGATCGCGCCTGCCCTGGCCGCCGTGCTCCTGGCCGTGCTGGCTGCCGTCGGGGCAGCCTTCTGTGTGCGGCGGGGGCGGGCCGCTGCGGCCGTGGCTCAGGGCAAAGGGCAAGTGGGACCCGGGGCTGGGCCCCTGGAGCTGGAGGGGGTGAAGGCCCCCCTGGAGCCAGATCCCAAGGCGCTGGAGGGTGGTGGGGAGTCCCCGCCTGGTGGGCTGGAGTGTGAGGTGCCGCTCATGGGCTACTCGGGGCCGGGCCCGCAGGGGCCCCTCCCAGCCAAGCCCTACATCTAAGCCTGGGAGGGATGGACCACCAGGGCCGGGCCCCCGCGGCCCGCTGGGACCGGCCAGGAGGTCCAGTTCCTGCTGCCACGTTAAGGAGCTTCTCAGATCCGGACGAGGAGGACACGTCAGGACCCGGGCTGGGTGACCGCGGCACATCCCTGCCCGTCTCTGGACCTTGGGTTCCTCACCTGTGAGATGCTGGGACCCAGGGATGACCCTCTGAGGGTCCCCCTGCCCAAGTGTCTGGAGGATTGTGTCACCCCATCCTCTGCAGTGTGCAGCCCCTGGGGTGGGGCCGGCCCTGCTGTGTGCTGGTAACACGGGCCTGGGGCTGCCAAGCCCCCCCACCCCAAGGAGACTCTGGGGGGACAGTGAAGGAAGCCCCCGGAAAAGAGCAGAGGGAGAGTAGGACTGGGGATGGGGGCGGATGATCCTGCCTCGGCCCCAGGGAGCGAAGGAGCAAAAGAAACTGGAAAGAAAGATGCTTTAGGAACAAGTTTTGCTTTTTTTAAAATGTATTTATAAAAGATCCTTTCCCATTTGTTCTGGGAAAATGTTTTTCAAACTCAGAGACAAGGACTTTGTTTTTTTTTTTTTTTTAAGACAAATGGTGATATGAAGGCCTTTTCTAAGAAAAATAAAAGGTGAAAAGAAGCATGCATGTTTCTCGGCACAGCCCCAGCGTACCTGCGTGGGGGGGGGGTGAGGGCTCGCAGGGTCGGCCTAAAGCGGGGAGCTGGGAGCCGGGACCTGCTTCCCAGCAGGTGTGGGGCCCCAGTTGGCATGCCCTAGGCTGTCCAGCTCATCTGAGCTGCCCGGTCTAGCCTCCCAGGGAGACTGGGGGACCGGGTGGGAGCGGGGTGGGAGAGGGGCCACTTCAGTCTCGGGGCAGGGGAACGCTGAGGGCAGCCTTCCCCTCCCCAGGCCCAGTCATCTGCCAGCAGGAGCTGCCAGGCTCCTGGGAGAGGCAGGAAGAGGCTTGCGGCAGACACAGACCCCAGGGGTCCCTCCTTGGGGACGGGTCTGACCATCGCCTGCTCTCATCTGTGGAGGGGTGCCTTGAGCCATGTCACCCCAGGCCCTCAACAGCCCTGGACCAGGTGGCAGGCGGGGCCAGCCCTGCCTGTGGTCCCGTGGCCCCTCCACGTGGGCTCAGACAGGGAGACCTTGGCCCAGCTTTCTGCTCCAGCCACAGAGACGGGCCGTGGTGGAAGGAGCGAGGTCTTGAGTGGCAGAACTGCAGGCAAGCAGGCAGGGGCTGAGCCAGGGCTGTGAGGGGCGGTGCCCTCAGGCAGGAGGTCTGCAGACCCAAAACGCCCCTCTCCTCTCTGCACTAGGGGGGTACCCAGGCTTCCCAGAAACAACCCTGGACGTCAAGTGTTTTCCTGGAAGCCACCAGCCGAGGCGGGGGAGGACCAGGGAGGCTGTGCACAGCCCTGGCTGGACCAGGTGCTGGGAGCTTGGGGAGAGGAACCGAACAGACACAGACACAGACACACACACACACACACACACACGCTGCCACCTTTTCCGGTCACCCTCTGGCAAGAAGGGAGGTGGCCCTGGGGCCACGGAGGTCCTGCGGAGGCCCGCGTGAGCCCCCCCTAGGCCCCTGCCCACCGCCCTGCACAGGTCATGGCCCCCGGCCCCAGGGCTCACCCTGGCAGGAAGGAGGCAGCCCGGCCGGGCCTGCGGAACAGACCCTGCGGCTCTGGGCGTTGATGTCAGCGCTGGCCACGCAAGGCTCTGGATTCAATTATCGACTGCTGAGGGTTCTGGTGTGAGCAGGGCAGAGGTGGAAGGGGGGCCGCGGTGGGCAGAGGGGCCAGGGTGGGGCCCTCTCCTGGAGGCGGCGGTGGTGGCCCAGGTGGGTTTCCTGTGGGCCTGGGTCCTGTTAGGGGAACGGCTCTGGCGAGGCCGACCCTCCCCTCCAGCGGGTGGCCCCATCAAAGGAGCCATTGTGGGCCTGTGGGCTGCTGTTCAGCGCAGTGGCTGCTGAGGGGATGTTTTTGCTGCAAAGCTAAACCTAGCGAATGGGGCGGCAAGGCGAGCGGGTGGCAGGGCCTGCAGGAGGCGGGCAGGGCACTCATGCCAGCCCCCCCAGAAAAGGTCTTTGAGCCTCCCATCAGAGGAGGGGCTGGGTGAGGAAGCGGGGACTGGGGACCAAGTGGGGTATGCAGCCAGGAGGTAGCCACGACCAGGGTGACCCTGGGTGGGCAAACACCAGCCCCCAACCGGGTCCTCGAGACCCCGGGGCTACACGGGCTCTTCAATTCCCCTAAGGACAGGTTCCCGGGCTGCCCGCCACAGGAGCTGACACCTGCTCCCTGGCCCTCGAGGGGCGGTCAGTCTCCTGCCTCCAGGAGCTGGGAGGGGCCGCAGAAGCTCCAGGCCTCCAGGGAACACTGGATGGGATGTGGGGCGGGTGCCTCTGGCCAGAGCACACTCCCAGCCTCCACCCCTATGCTGGCTCCCAGGGTGACCTCAACGGAGGATCGATTTCTCTGGCTTCAGCTTTTATGCACTGGTAACATCTGGAGAAAAACCTCCATCCACCTTCACCCGGGGCTGGTAACTGCTGACTGTTCGCCCAGCCCAGGGGCAGGGCACCCGGGACAGGTGGCGTTTCTGCCTCTCCAGGGCAGGAGTGTGAGCTGCTTGATCAGCCCCGACGGTAACCCCAGCCTCCACCCTGCACAGAAGTGCGGGGTGGCTGTCTGCCTGGGCCCAGCCTTAGGGATAGGACCTGCCGCCCCCGGGGAAGGGCACAGGTGGGAGCAGAGACAGAGACCCCTGGGAGGGTGGGGCCCTGGGTCCTCCCTGGGAGGGGGCAGGGAGGGGCATGTGCCTGACCCCTCCCTGGCCTTCTGTAGCTCTCACTGTCCTACCCAAATGAAGGTGGGAAATCTGTAATATAACCTGAGCGGGTGCGGTGGAGGCCTAGGTGGCGCCTGCAGCTGACGCCCTGCAAGATTCCCAGCTTCAGCCCCGTCAGCAGCCCCCGATGCCCCAGGGGGCCCCGGGGGGGTTCTGGCTTCTGGGGAGCCTGGGGGTAGGGGGCCACCAGTTCTCAGGCTGGCCTGGAGGCTGGCATGCAGCCTTGGCGTCCACCGGCTTTGCAGAGGGCTGGAGAGTCCCAGCTCCTCTGCCAAGGGCGTGGGCCCAGTGGGGCAGCGGCCAGGACTGGGGGATGAAGGGGGCGGGACACTGGTCTGGCCGCCCATCTGGGAGTGATTTGAGAAATTCCAGGCCTCGCTGGCCCTGCGAGGCTATTCTTAACTGCTATAATTACAGGGTCAGCCCTGGCCAGTGGCACCATGGGGTCTGGGCATCGTTAACTCCCCCAGGGGCCACGCTGGGGCTGGGCGGGGGCCACTCCACGGGGTGGGGGTGGGTAACCAGCACAGATCAGAGGCGGAGTCCAGAAGGCAGGAAGTGGTGGGGTGAGGAGCCCTTGATGGTCAGCGCTGACTCCCTTGTCCAGGCTGGGCCAGTCCCCTCCCTCTGCTGGGGGGCCCGCAGGGAAGGGGGTGTCTGGCCTGGGGAGGCCTGGGGGATGAGATACCAGTGCAGCATCAGGGCTGGGGGAGGGGCTGCTGGACACGAAGCCAGGAGGCCTGGGAGCCCTGAGTCCTCCCTCGCAGGGAGGGGGTCCTGGTAGTACCCCCTGGGATCCCCACAGCCAAGAGCAGGCAGAGGCCTCACGCCCACTGTGCACTGAAAAGGAAGGTGGGGGACCTCACTCACCCTCGCCCCCCTCATCTGCAAACGGGCCTTCCCAGCTCCCTGTCCTCTCTCTGTGCTGTGAGAGAGGACCTGAGTGGAGGGTCCCTGCCCCCCGACCGTCTCCCGTTCCCTGGGGCTCTCAGCAGGGGCACCCTAGGAGGAGCTCCTCGGGCACTCAGCCTGCCCCCTCACGGCCCTCCCTGCTCCCAGAGCTGGGGTGGAGCACTGCGCCCTCTGTGACTCAGTTTCCCCAGCTGTAAAATGGAAGAGGAAGGGGCCGGATAGATATCCAAGGACCAAGGCCCCGACCTGGCTCTGACCTCTGCGGGTCCCTGCCTGGGTGGTGGGTTCAGCAAGCCGCCCTGAGTCAGAGCTCAGGACCAGGTTCCGCCTCCTCCTCCCCCAGCCGGCCTCCTCAGGCCCAGGCAGTCCTGGCACCGAGCTGGCTCAGCCAGGACCCCGTGGACGCCACTGTAAACCTTCCTGCATGCACTTGCAGGAGGGTGGGAGGATCAAGTGACTGCCTGCACCCCCGACCTGCCCAGGACTACCAGCAACAGCATGGGGCCTGGGCTGGGGTCTTACTGAGCCTGCGGGTCCAAGGCCTGCCTCCAGCCCCAACGTCACCCCACGTCCACCTCTCGATCGGAGCCTCGGTGTCCCAGTCCTCAGCCCCACCAGAGCGCTCACAGAAAAATCAAGCGCATCCCCATGTCCCTTGTCCCCCACCTGCCATCACAGTCTCCTCCCCAAAGGCCAAAACACAGCAGCACGAGCCCCGTGCAGAAGCCCGCCCCCAACCAGCGGCGCACACAGCCACCAGCCAACCCGAGGCTCCGGCCGCTCCTACCTGGGAGAGGTGTCCAGGGTGAGGGAGGTGAGGGCACAGGAGAAGAGCCGGGTGTCCCAGAGCTTGACTTCACGCTCTCGCATCTGCAACGAGGGGCAGAGAGGGGCTCAGAAGGGCCCATCCAGGAACCCCAGGGCCAAGGACATGGGCTGGTACAGGGGCACTTGCCCCAGAGCAGAGCTTGAAGGGTGAAGCAGTCACAAGGGTAAGGGGGAAGTGAGGCACGCCAGGGAGGAAGGATTTGGATTTTCATGTCCTGCCCCTTTAAGAACCCATAGGTGACGAGGGGGCGGGTCCCTCTGTGGACTCTGGTCCCTGGGGGCGTCCACCACAGTTCCCAGGGTCAGGCTTAGCTATTGCAAATGGAATCTGCCAGTTCTCAGCGGCCTTCGGTCCCCTGGGGCTCTGAGACCCAGCTGCACGCGGGGCAGGGCCGTATATGGACAGGCCTGGAGCCGGCCGCAGCCCCTGCCTCCCAGAGGGGCTCGTCCCGCCCTCGTGGTGTGTATATCTGGTTCAGCCACGAGGAGCCCTACCTGGTTGAAGCCAGTGGACACGAGGCGCTCCTGGGTGCCCGTCCACACCAGCCGGCCGTCCCTGCTGTTCTCATGGGCCAGCGTGCTCTGGGGGAAGAAAAGATGGCATTGAGCCCCAGGGCCCTCCTCGGGGGGTCCGCCCACCTGAGGGCCCCTCGGAGGGCAGGAGAGGCCAGCTGGGGCCAGCTCCGCACCCAGAGGGCCGACCTGGCCACCAAGCTCGAGCTTAGTCTCTGTCCAGCTGCCCTGTGCCCTGCCAAGGCCCCTCCCCTCCTGCCGTAGCCAGGGGGCTCAGTTCGGTGGCACGTCCCTGCCCCTGCACGTGCCCCAGGGGGGGCACTCGGCTGCAGGTCACCGACCTCTGCCGGTTACTGTCCTCGGGCTCTGGGACCCAGGGCCCGCCTGGAACTTCATTTTCCCGGCTCGTGGCCCAGGCTGCCTGCTTCCCAGGACTGTCGCGAGGATCAACTGAGACCACATGTGACAGGAACAGCCCTGCCACAAAGCGGCGTGCAAATCGGGGGATTACGAGAATTACTGCTGCCTCCTGACACTGCCAGGGGCCGGGGAGAGGGCCGGTGCCCAGCGTAGGGAACAGTCACTGGAGGGGGCAGAGCGTGGCCCTCCCGTGGTGCTGGGGCTGCCAGTAGGAAGGCTTCCCGGGCCCGCGGAGGAGAGGCGGGTTCACACCACGGGCGGCCCTGTCCCTGGGGCCCAGGCAGTGTGTGTGTGGGGGGGAGCCGAGGGGGCCAGAGGAAATGCAAACAGCTCCCTCCCAGTCACCCTGGCCCCTGGAGCCTGAGACGAAAGACCCTGTTACCAAAAATAGCTCACCCCAAACTGTGGCCAGCTTCCTCCAGGCTTCCCACGATCTCCTTGGGAATGAATGAGGGAGGGAGGCGGCTGAGGGGAGCTGGCCCGGCGCCCCCTCCCCAGCCCGCGGAGGCCGACCCCAGCGTGGGAGCCCGTCGGAAATGGCTCCGTGTCGTTTGAGGAACTTTTCTCACTGCTCCCTTCCCACCCGGCTGGAGTCGGCACAGGAAGTCAGGACTGGAGCCTGAGAACTGGGGCCCGATGTCCCTCACTTCACGCAAGAGGGGCTGAGGGGTTGGGGCGAGGGTCAGTTCCGAAACTGGCACCCCAGGGTCAGTCGTCAGCGTCACTTGGGCTCCCTCGCCCTCTCACCGGTGTGCAAACATCCCGTATAAGGAGTGCAGGAGGCTCGCACAGCTTTGCACACCCTTCGTTCATTCAACAGCCTCTCCCTGGCCAGGCACCACGCTGGGTGCTGGCGGTGGGGCTGGACACGTCTCAGATGGACGGTCACGTCCTGGGTGAGGCGGGACTGCTCACTCATCTGTTCTTTTGTAATGTGAGTATCCGAGCTACACATGACACTGGGCACTGGGGACACAGTGAAACAGAAAAGGGTCCCCACACTCGGAACGCACAGGCTGAAGGGCCCACATGAACCAAATAGAAGTAACGACGTCAGCAGGTTAGGGCGCAAGCTTTGGGTCAGACTGCCTGGGGGAAAGCCCTGCTGCCAACAGGGTGTGCCTCAGTTTCCTGACCTGAGCACCGTAACAGACTTGCTACTGCAGAAGTGTCTGGGGGTGAGTCCGGCACATGGCAGTGTTCGCTTTTCAGAAGCATGATGGTCATGGAGCACAATGGAGTATAACTGAGGGAAGTGGGTTTAAGGTAACACTTGAGTTAAGATATGAAGGATCGATGGGCACGAGCCAGTATGGGGACCGGCATCTGTGAAGGGTGGGGCCTCGGAGACTCAGAAGGCCGGCACGGCTGGCAGGGGGGTCGTGGGGGAGAAGGCTGCAGTGCCCAGGGCCTGCAGAGCCTGTGGGCAGCGGGGGAGCGTTTTCCCTCCAGAGGCACAGGTTTGGATGGAACGCTCCTTGGCCTGTGTCTCCCACCTTCCTATTTCAGGCCTGGAGAAACCACAGGCACAGACAGGGGAAGCCATCTGCCCCCAGTAACCCAGCAGGGCAGTCGCCCACCTACCATCTCTCCTGTTCTCAGTAGAAGGAGCTGACGGAGGGCCGGCGAGGGGACAGGCCCGACCAGAGGCAACAGTGCCTAGACCAGGAGCTGCCTGGCAAGCCAGCCACCCTCGCCAGGCATCTTGGGTGTCCAGCTGTCACCCTGGGGAAGCAGGCGGCGACGGGCAGGGCGCTGTGGACAGGCCAGTCCGGCTCGCCCCGCGGCTCTCCATCCCCGCCTTGGGCCTCAGAGGGTACAGCACCCAGGAAGCAGAGGCCAGGTCAGAGCTCGGCCTGAACCCAGGGCGCCTGCTGTGGGTACACCCGGCTCAGCCTGCCCGGGGACCACGGAAGCCCCAGCAACTAGCAGAGGCCTCTACCCCAGAGGACCGAAGTGACTTTCATTTTCAAGCCTGCCAAGTGCTCCGCTGACCTCAGTGGGACTTGAGAGAAGGAGCCTCCCCTGGGGATCCCCAGGTTCTCCTTCTCCTGGGGCAGAGGGCAGGCGGCAGCGTGGACCCGGCCTTGTCACAGGGAGCCCCTGACGGTGAGCCAAGCCTGTGGGCCAGGCCCTGGGGTTCCCCTCTCACAGATGGCTGGGTGTCCTGCAGGCAGAGGAGTCCCCCCTCCTCCGTCCCTGTCTCCCCCACACCTGGCCCCAAGGAGAGAACAGGAGGGCTGCAGCCAGGCAGTGCCTGCCCAGCTCGGGCCGCCAGGAGCTGGCGCATACCCGGCATTCCAGCTGCTGCGGTGCCGCCAAACCCCCCTCTCTGTCACCATGGCAACGCTTCCTGTGAGGGGCAGTGCGGCTGGAGGAGCAGCCCTGAGCTGGTCTGGGCTGAGGGGGCCTCCTCCGGCGGTGAGAGCTCCCCCTATCACCCATCCGCGCCCCTCCTCAGTCACGATGCTGGCCCCCAGGCATGCCTGACGCGGCTCCACCTCTGTCCACACCAGGGGTCCTCTGGCTGCTCCTGCCCAGACTGGCTGGCCCAAGCCTCCCCATCCCTGGGTGCCCCCTCATTGCGGCAGCTACCTTCCCTGGCACGGCCGTGGCTTCAGGGCCTCAGCCACCCCCTCCCCGGTCCCTGGGGCCTTGGCACAGTGAAGGGGCTCTGGACCCCCAGGGTTCCGGAGTCAGATGGACAGAACCTGCCTCTGCCGTGAGCTGTTGTGACCCTGGGGACAAAAATGACCAAAGGGCTGACTTGACAGGATGCTCAGGAGGGTGGAAGGAGGTTGTGCATGCCAAGGGCCTGGGACACAGTAATCCGTCATAAAGGCAACCAAAAAACAAAGTGGTGGGCGTGAGCAGGAGGGAACTGCCCAAGCGTCTCCTGCTCCAAGCTCCGGTTGCCAGGGTCCAAGCCCAGAAGAGACAGTGGGGGGAGGAGCCCCCCAGGTCCCGGCCTGTGGGGATGGCCTGGGGAGCGGGGGAGACGGGGCAGAGGCCAGAGGGAGGGCAGTGCCTACTCTGGTGGGCGGTGGGTGAGGAGGGTCCCAGGAGGAGGCACTCCCAGAAGGCTTCTCCCCCGAGCTGGCCCCTCGGCTCATGCCGACCCGGCCGCCAGCAGCGGTTTTCCTAATGGAAGCCAGGTGCGGGCCAGATGCCCCGGCGGAAGCGGGGGGCAGGGCCGGGCGGAGGGCGGCATTCCAGGCCCCGCTGCCCCCGCGCCCGCGGGCTGAGGGGCCGAGCACAGGCACCGGCCCAGGAGCGGGGAGGGGGTGGCAGCCACCCACGCTCTTCCCAGGTCTCCTCGGCCCAGAAACCCCCTTCAGGGGGGCTCCCCCGCCTCGCTGAACTTGCAGCCCTTGGACAGCGGCCACCGCATCTCCACCTCAGCGCCGTCACCACCTCCCCCTCACTGCGGGGGACGGAGGGGAGGAAAGTGCTCAGCTGGGGGACGGGTCGGGGGCGCTGCCTGGCTGGGGCTGGGATGGAGGTGCCTGGCGCCGGGGGCTGCACGGACCCTGGGGAGGAGAGGGCGACCAGAGAAAGCTGAGCGGACGGCGCGCCCGTCTCTCTCCTCGAGCTGAGCCTGGCCCTTCTCTCTGGGCAAACACTGGAGGTGTGCCGCAGAAAGCTGCTGGGAGGCCCACCGCAGCTGCCCCAAGGCTCAAACAGCTGGCCCACTGGCCACAGGGCGATGGGGCCAAAGGACCAGGAACTGGCCTTGTGGAAGCACAGTCGGGTGGGGCCAAAGCCACTGCTGCCGGGCCTGGCTCACCTGCCAGGACGGGGCCTCCTTTGGTGCTTGGCCAGTTGGAGGTGGAGCTGACCACCCTGTCCTGGGCAAAGAGCTGCAGCTGGCTGTGTGAAGGGGTGTGTGTGTGTGTGCGCACGCGTGCCTTGGGGGACTCTGTGTGTATGTGCGTTGTGTGTGTACATACTGGGTCGGGGGAATGTAGCCCCCTGGTTACTGCCGCTTCGAGTTAGACTGGTGGCTCAGCCTTGACCTCGGGCGGGAAACAGGTCCTAGATATGGAGCTGAGGCATCTGTGCTGGGCCTGGGCCTCGCTGGGGAGCTCTTCCCACCAGCTGGTGCCAGGACCCTGAACTGTACTGCACCCTCCTTGGGAAAGACAGCACCTCAGCTTCTAGAAAAACTTTGAAAAATGGAAACACATCCACCTCATTGCTGCCTTATAACCCCGACGGCTCCATGACACAGGTGACAGGCCCCTCACTCGGGTTCGTGGGCCAGCCCGTCCCGCCCCAGGCTGCCTGCAGCATCACTCCAGCCTCCACCCCGAGCCAGCTCCCCGGGAAAGCATCAAAGCGCTCCCACAAGAGAAGCCCCCAGTAGCTGCCCCCTGCTGTTCACTGTGGAACATTCCGTGCCTGGCAGCGGGCTGCCCTCGAATGACTGAACGAGTCCCTGATGGCTGGATGCCTGCAGCATGAACCCGTGGCCCGGCCTCCCTGCTTGGAACTTGAGGGGCCACACGCACCTGTGCACAGCCAGACATGGACCAAACACGCTCAGGGCCCGGGGCCCACGGGTTGGGCACGCCCGCCAGCACTGGCTGGGAGACTGGAGGGGTGCAGAGGGCGAGGGCTGGGTCTCTTTGGCTCCTCTGTGGCCAACCTCTGCTGACACTACCAGGAAAGCTGGGTGGGGATGAGGGTCTCAAAGAAGAGGAACTTGGCATCTCAAATTAGCTTCCTGAAGCCACAGGATGGCTCCACCGAAGGCCTGTGGGCAGCGTGGCTGCGCCCCACCCTGTGGTCAAAGCTGGACCTTCCCAAGACCCAACACGCTTCCCAGAAACAGACTGAGCAGCGGGAACCACCACCCAGGTGACCCCCATGTGCCCACTGGGCCTGATCCAGGGCACAGGCGTGGGAGAACTTGTGTGCCAGAGGCTGGCTGCCCTGCCCACGCCTGCTGCAGCCTCAACCCAGCCCTGCTGCCCACACGACTCACCTGGGCGGCCTCGGGCTTTGCTCTGGGGTCGAAGATTCGCAGCTGCTTGTCCTGGAAAAGCCGAGAAGAGAAAACAGCACAGTTAGGGCGGGGAGGGTCTCTGGGGGCCGGTAGGCTGGCCTCCCCCAACCCCAGGATCTGATGGTCCTGCCCCGCAGTACACAGGGTAAGCATCAACCCACCAGACAACCCCTCTCCAGTCCGGGTTCCTCCTCCTCCTCACAGCAGGGGGCAGGCCCCCTTGCCAGCCCCAGGCACCCATGACGGAGAACCTAGTGACAAGGGTTCACATTTCCCGAGCACCTACTATGAGTATGATCTCTAACCACCTTGTGAAGCTGTGCTATCCCACGACCCCGTCACAGACAGAGAAACCAAAGCCCAGAACCAAAACTCAAGGTTCCCAGCTGCCACACGTGTCTGGGCCTGTCCAGGCTAGAGGGGGCTCATAGGACAACATCATTTCTACACTGAACCTGGCGTCTAACCAGGATGGCAAGCTTACACATCCATCCATCACTCAGCATGCAGTTACTGATTCAGAATACCCAAGGGTGGGGATGGGAACAGATAGAAAAAGAAAAAAAAATACCAAAATAAAATGTCCATGTTTTAAACAGCTTTATTTCTGTGGAATAATCTCTCTGCATGTGTGTGTATGAACTGGAGAAGGGGGAAGAGAATCTATATCCACTGACTATTTACAGGCTTGGGGGTGATGAACTGCTAAATGCAAAAGGGAAGATGCCCAGTAATACGTGGTGGTGTGATTTTACTGTGGTTAAAAATAAACAAAACCCCCATTTGTCTGACCACATTCCTGTATGTTTTGCAAGAGTGCTGAGTAAGGAGAAAGGTCTTGACAGGCACGGGACGTGTGTTAACACTGGGACCAGGGTGGAGGCAGGTGAGGGGTGGTCAGCTTTTCCTTTTTACATCTTAGCATGGCTCCCCTTTGTTTCAATCAGCACGGTTCATATTTTCTTATTTCAAAAAACAATCAATCAGCGATGAACAACTGGAATTCTAAATGAAGAACAATACTGCTTATATCAGCACCCCCCCCAAAAAAAACCCGGAAATATTCAGCTATACATCTAACAAAATATGTATAAGATGTACACAAGGAACACTACCAAACTCCGATGAAAGAAATCACAGAATTAAACGGACAGCTAGTCCATGTTCAAAGTTAGGAACACTCAGTATTGTCAAGATATCAGTTCTTCCCGACTTGACGTATAGATTCAATATGATCCCAATGAAAATCCCGACAAGTTATTTTGTGAATATCAACCGATTCTGAACTTTATGTGGACAGGCAAGAGACTCAGAATGGTCAACAGAACAGAAAAGGAGAAGAACAAAGGTGGAGGACTGCTGCTCTGGAGTATACCCTAAGGCTATGGCAATCAGGACAGTGGATCCACACAAGGACAGGCAAACAGACCAATGGAACAGAACACAGAACAGAGAAAGACCCCCTCAGCTACAGCCAGCTGGTCTTCAACAAACGAGCAAAGACAGTCTTCTCAACACATGGCACTGGAACAACTGGGTATCCACATGCAAAGAAATCAGTCTAGGCACAGACTTTATGTCTTTCACAAAAATCAACTAAGAGTGGGTCACAGACTTAAACGTTAACATGCAAACCTTTATTATAAAACCTCTAGAAGACAGCATATGAGAAAACCTAGGTGACCTTGTGTTTGACAATATAAAGAACTCATACAACAAAAAAAACCAAACAACCCAATTAAAAATGGGCAAAGGACTTGAATAGACATTTCTCCAAAGATAACACAAATGGCCAACAAGCATGTGAAAAGATGTTGAACATGATTAATCCTCAGAGAAACGCAAATCAAAATCATGGTTACGCTTTTGCACCTCACATCAATGGAATGGCTACTGTCAAAAAACCCAGAATAGGACTTCCCTTGTGGTCGGGTGTTTAAGACCCTACCCTTCCAATGCAGGGGACATGGGTTTGACCCCTGGATGGGGAAGTTCCACACGCCATTGGGTGTGGCCAAAGATAAATGAATTAATTAATTAAAAAAACACAGAATATAACAAGTGTTGGTGAGGATGTGGAAAGTTGGAACCCTTGTGCGCTATTTGTGGAAATATAAAATGGTACAGATTATATGGAAAACAGTCGAGCAGTTCCTCAAAACATTAAAAATAGAGTTACCATATGATCCAGCAATTCCACTTGTGTGTGTAAACCCAGAAGAACAGAGAACAGGGTCACAAAGAAATATTTGCACACCCATGTTCACAGCAGCCTTACTGACAATACCCAAGATCCAGAGGCAATCCAAGGGTCCAGTGACAGATGAATGGGTAAACAAAACGCATTCAATGAAACAAAATGCATTCAATGAAACATTATTCAGTCTGAAAAAGGAAATTATGTCACATGCTATAATACAGATGAAGCTTAAGGACATTACGGGCTTCCCTGATGGCTCAGAGTAAAGAATCCACCTGCAATGCAGGAGACGTGGGTTCAGTCCCTGGATTGGGAATATACCCTGGAGAAGGAAATGGCAAACCACTCCAGTATTCTTGCCTGAAGAATCCCATGGACAGAGGAGCCTGGTGGGCTACAGTCCACGGGATCACAGAGTCGGACACGACTGAGCGACTAACACCACTGAGGGACATTATGCTAAATGAAATAAATCAGTTATAGGAAGACAAGCAGTATGTGATTCTACTCATATGAGGTGTTTAAAGTTGTCAAATTCCTAGATATGGAAAGTAAAACGATTATGAGGGGCTGGAAAAGGGGGCAAAGAGAACTTGCTCAATGGGTGTAGAGTTTCAACTTTAGAACAATGTAAAATACTTTATATTAGAACTGTACACTTAGAATGGTTACTATAGAAAACTTTATATGCATTTTTATGTCAAAATTTTAAAAACAGCTATCAGTCCACAAAAAGGTAGGGAAGACCCATACACACATGCATATCACTAAGTAAGTGAAAGGACTCAATCTGGAAAGGCTACATTCTATGATTCCACCTGTGTGACGCTCAACATCCAGGAGAAGTCAAATCTTACGGAGACAGCAGAAAGATCAGTGGTTGCCAGGGGTCTGGGAAGGGGCAGGCAGGCATGAACGGGTTAAGCACGGGGCACTTTCTTAGGGCAGCAGAACTATCCTGTGTGATGCTGTAAGGAGGCTTGCATGACGTCATGCTCTTGTGGGAACCCACAGGAAGTACGTGGTGTGAACCCTAATGTAAACTGTGGGCTTCAGTTACTGTAGCAACAGTGGTTTAACTGTAACAAGCGCACCTCACTGATGCAGGATGGGGCGGGGATAGATGGGGCTACTGGACTCCCGGCCCTGCTTGCCCATCCCTCCTGGGTGCCTGGGATGCACACAGTGCTGGTGTCTGCCACTCGGAGGGGGTCACAGGTAACTCTGGGGAGGAACCGGACCTGACTTGAGCCCAAAGGACAAGCGGCGCTTGGGCTGGAAAGGGAAAGGCATTCGAGGAAGGGGACAGAGCACGAGCAAAGATGGGGAGACGGGGGTCTGCAGGCACGTGGCATGCAGGGAAGACAAGGTCCTGCGGGGAGGGCACGACATTAAAGGGGGGGACTGGGCAAACGCACAGATGGACAAGGCAGGGGTCCAGTCTGGAGAGTCCTCGAAAGCCAGGCCTTCCTGACACCTGGCAGGGTCCCAGGGTTCTCGGGTCTCGCCCAGCAAAGCCTTGAAGCTGTAGTTTACTGCGCCCTTGCTCAGGGGGGCGCCGGGCAGAGTCCAGGGATTAACCCTGAGGCACCGTCCACTCCAGTCTCAGGTTTGGGACAAGATTGCTTAGAGACAGAGATTAGACAGATGGGGCCAATGAAGGACACAGGACAGAGGCAGAAAGAACAGTGAGAGACAGAGAGGATGGGGAAAAAGAGAGACACAGAGAGAGACAGCAGCAGACACAGAAAGGACAGCAGGGGACAGGAAAGAACCACCGGAGGCTGGGGACAGAGACAGGGCAGCATGGGCCAGACAGAGGGTGGGTCAAGCAGTGGCAGGAACTGATCTCGAAGGTGACAGGCAAGAGAGAAGGCCTCCTGGCAGCAAAGGCCACTCCCCACACTGTGGAGACGAAAGGGCCAGGGTTAGGACGTCAGCGCCACCACTCACGTGCTCCGTGACCTGGGAAAAAACCAGGGTGGGCTGGCGGTGACGGTAGCAATTCTCAGAGGTCAGAGGCACCTGGGGAGCTGGGCCATGGAGTGTACAATCCCAATGTCAGGTCCAGACCAGGGTTCAGACAGGGCACTGGGGGCTGGCGTGGCGCCGGTGGGGACTGTAGGGCTGGGCTCACGGGCTCAGCCCACCCCGCAGAGGGGGCCTAGCTGGCCACATCCAGCCATCTGTGGGGCCAGCGCGCCCCCTAGCGGCCACCTTCCCTTCCCGCGGCGGCAGCAGCTGGGAGGGGAGCAGGAAGCGGCTTCCGCGGGCCAGCCCCACATGCAGAGCACCTGAGGGGGCGGGGGCCGCAGGGCCCCCACCGCGCACCACCCGGGGCGATGCCTTCGGAAATCTCTGCTTCTTGTCCCTGCGCCTTTGGGCTCCGGGTGCAGAGGGTCAGAGTTCCACCGGACTTGGAGCTGGATGCTCCACTAAGCCGCCCCACGAAGACACCAGCAGGCAAGGAGTCATCGCCTTGGGACCCAATAGGGAAGTGGGGCTCTGTGACTAGATGGATCTTCTCTCTACACTTTCCCTCCCAAGGCAGGAGGCCAGTATGGACGGGAGCCCAGCACCGAGGGTGGTACCTCGGGGCTGCCTGGCCGCAGGCTGGGTGGTGAGGGCCTTCAGCCCTGGATGCTGAGGGCCCACAGTGGTCACCCCTCCTGCGCCACCACCCACAGCCACGCACACGGTCAGCGTGGCGACAGGGCCCAGCCCCTTGTCTCAATAGGGACAGTTATGATGCAGCCCCCGAGCCCTCTGCACACAATCCCCAGACCAGAGGCTCCTGTCCCCCTTCCTGGGTTCTCCAGGTTCTCCTGGGCTCCAGCAGGGCCTCCCCAGGGAGTCACTCCTCACCGTTCTGCCCCCTCTCAGGCCGATGTGCCCCTCACCATCACCCCACCCCCACAGTGCCATCTGATCAGGTCACCCCCACACTGGGCACCCAGCCAGGATGCCTACTGCCTTTCAAGACACGCCCTCACTTGCCCTCAGCCCACCCTCCCCTCCTCGTGGACGCATGCCTTCACTGGCTGCCTCTGAACATGGCAGGACCCCCGGGAGGCACGCCTGCCTCCCAATTAATCCGTCTGCAGCCTCACTTATGAGCCCCCTGGGGGCTCCAACCACACTGGGGTCCGGTTCACACCAGGCCCAGCTGGGCTATGAGCTCTGGGGAGGGCTGGCACCTCTGGCTGCTCCACAGGAAATGACCCGTGTCCAGCCCCTGGACACCTGCTCCCCAGACACCCTGCCTGGGGCTGGGGTGGGGGCCTGGAGCCAAGGGGACGTGGGGCAGAGGCCACAGGCTGGACTGGCCACGAGGCTGCAGCTCTCACGTCATATATGCACTCTCTATGGCTGCTGCTTTGTTACCAAGCGGCGCTGACGGAGACAGTCTGGCCTGCAGAACCTGGAGTCTCTACTATCAGGCTCTTCACAGAAAAAGTCTGCCCCTGCTCCAGGCTAAGGAAGTCACAGAACACAGGGAAACAAGCCTCTATAGAGATACATCCAAATGTTACAGCTTGTAACACAGTGACTGGAAGTGGAAATAATCCACACTTCTGAGAGCAGGCGTTCCACTAGGCAAACTGTGAAACTATGTGATAAAATGTTTCCTGTGACATTTGTTAAATTTTTGATAAGCTGGAAAAAAAAAGTTTATTACACTGGACAAAAAAGTATAGGGTAGAGTAATGTGTAGACTATGTACAGAGGGACTTTCCTGGTGGTCCAGTGGCTAAGACTATACTCCCAATGCAGGGGGCCTGGGTTCGATCCCTGGTCAGGGAACTAGAGTCCACAGGCCCCAACTAAAGACCCCACATGCCACAACTAAGACCCAGCACAGCCAAATAAATAAATACTAAGGGGAAAAAAAAAAAGATGCTACGGAAAACCCCAGACAAATGTTTTGGTCAACTCAACCCTATACTTGGGCTTCCCAGGTGGCGCTAGTAGCAAAGAAGCCACCTGCCAATGCAGGTTCAATCCCTGGGTCAGGAAGATCCCCTGGAGGAGGAAATGGCAACCCACTCCAGTACTGTTGCCTGGAGACTCCCATGGACAGAGGAGCCTGGCGGACTACAGTCCACGGAGTCATAAAGAGTCGGACACGACTGAAGTGACTTGGCAAAATACTGTATTTGGGTGATCAAAAGAAAACACTGTGTGACAATCCCCTTCCCTCCTTGTCTCCGTGTCTCTTTCGGCATCTGTCAGAACTGTGTCTAGGTCAGTTCCTCTGCCTGGGACACCTGTCCCCTCCTCAGCAGGGTAGCCCCAAACTCACTGTTCCTGGGAAGCCCGAGCCACACTTCCCAGAAGAGCCTGTGCAGGCTCCTTCCTTGCCTCCAGCTTCCTTCACAGGTGGCTTCAGGCAGAAGACACCCCACAGGCTCCTGAAGGTTGTGCAAGACTCGAGTCCCCGGGTACGCTGCCAGCTGCTTCCATGCAGACTCCTCCCCGGCCGCATCCTCCCCTCCGGCGGGGGCTCCCTGTCTCCTCACAGGTTCTGTCCCTCCTCTTACCCCTTCCCTCCCAGTCAGTCCTCCTGTCCCTCTGCGGGTGCCACGTGAACACAGGCCCCCACCTTCAGCCTGGACTCAGCAGACGTCCCTGGGATGTCCGGAGGGCCTCTGACCCTGTGGTCTCAGGGGCAGGCCCTCCTCCAGCCTGAGACCCGGAAGCCGGCCTCACGACCCCAGCCTTCTCGGGTACTCTGTGTCTTGTCTGCATCGCCCCCCTGTGCGAGGGGGCTCCTCCTTCCCTCCCGCGAAGGTCACTCTACCTCTGCTTTGGACATCCCTCCTTCCTTCCCCTGTCCTCACTGTCCGGATGCTCTGTCCACACTGGGCCGGGGAGCCTCACAGTGCAGACCTGCTCCCCTCACACCCCCACCCTGTCTGCCTTTAAACACTCTGCTGCTTTCCAGCTGCTTCTACAGTAACAAGCGTGACGGTGGGCTCACAGCTCTGCCCTCCGCCACAGCCCGCACCCCCGGCCCTGCACCAGGAGCCCTCCCCTTCCAGCCTCCCGTTGGAGACCAGGCCTCCCTGGCCTCTCCAACCACTCAAAGCACCTCTGGTCCCTCTAACAGCCTGGGTCACTGTCAGGGGTCACAATTATCCTTTCATCTACATGATCCCGGGACCTACATTGGCCGCCCCCACCAGCACGGGCCCCGGTGGGCACAGGACCTGATGTCACCAAGGACCCTGAGGCCTGCGGACTGCCTGGGGGAGGGGGGCTGGCACAGTGCCCTGCTGTGGATGCTGCCTGACACAACCCTCCCCCACGGTCACAAAGTGGCCAGCAGCCAGGAGGGGCTGGCTGAGGGTGGTGACGGGAGCCCCCAAGGGCCAGTGCGGGGCTTTCCTTAGTGGGGCGGGGGCTTCGAGAGACAAATATGAGCCAGAGGAGTGAGGGAAGCAGAGGGGAACACCCACCCTGGCTTCAGTTCTCTGCTGCCCCCCAAGTACCTCGGAGCCTGACAGGTACTGCTGGGGACCTGGGCTCTGCGATGCGATGGCCCTGGCAGAGCTGGGCATGCCTCAGGCCCTGGCAGGCACCTTCTCGAGTCTCACCGCCCACCCTTACCTTGCAGGTTGTGCCCAGCAGGGCTCCGTCCCGGCTCCAGGCGGCACCCTGCACCAGGTCCCCGTGGGTCGCCAGCTCTGCAGAGAAGCAGCCAAGGTTAGGAGGGGTCCAGGGTCCCCCCATCCCAGGCAATGAGGGTCTCAGGGAAGTGGCTGCAGGCGGGCCTGGCTTGGGGGTCATTCTGGGGAAGGGGCAGCCGCTGCGGGGGTGCCTTCCGGTGCAGGAGCCAGAGCAGCAGGGCCTCCAGGTTGGGGGCGGGGCGTCATTCAGCCCCACCCTTCTCAGGCCACGCCCCCAGCCAGCTCCCTGCTGCTGGGTCACCTTGCTCTGCTCAGTCACCAACATGCCTCCCCATCGCCCTGCAGAGGGCCACACAGCCCATTTAAGTGTCACAGTCACTCTTGCCCTGGGCACCTGCTCAGGCCTTCCTCACTCCCTCCCTGCATAGCATGACAGTTTTAAAATGTATCCACAAATTCTTTGACACCCCTCCAGTTACAGGCTGAATTGTGCCTACCCACCAAAAGTGTCAATGCCCCAATCCTCAGCACAGGTAAATGCAACTTTATTTGGAAATAGGGTCTTTGCAGATGATCAAGTTGCTACTGCTAGGACGGACTCTGATCCAGCGTGAATGGCGCCCTTGTGAAATCAGACCGGGAGACAAATATGCACAGAGAGAAGACGCTACGAACACAGTGGAAGCCACAGAGCACGGGGTCCATGGGAGCACCAGAAGCCGTGGAGCGCGGGAGCCATGGGAGCACCAGAAGCCGTGGAGCGCGGGAGCCATGGGAGCACTGGAAGCCACAGAGCACTGGGTGGGGAACCTGGTCCAGAGTCTCCTGCGCAGCCTCAGAAGGAACCAACCTTGCCAATACTTTGACTCCAGACTCTGGTCTCCAGAGCTGCCAGTTAATAAATGTTATATTAGGCCCCTCAATTTGTGGTACTCTATTATGGAATCAAGATTGCCAGGAGAAATATCAATAACCTCAGATACGCAGATGACACCACCCTTATGGCAGANACGCTAGGGAAGTAACAACTCCTCCTTTCAAAATGTGCAGCCCAGGGACTTCCCTGGTGGTCCAGTGGCTAAGACTGGGTGCTCCTAATGCAGGGGACCTGGGTTCGATTCCTGGTCAAGGAACTAGATCCCACATGCCACAACTAAGACCTGGTGCGGCCAAACAAATAAATGTAAAATATACATGAACAAAATGTGCAGCCCAAGTCCTATCCTCTTGAGTGTGAGCAGGACTTGGTGACCCGCTTTTTGCAGAAGGCATGCATCACCCAAAGCTGTGGCATAAACTGCACTGTGGCCTCCTCCTTGCTGCTTCTCTGGGACTGTCCCCTGGGGAAGCAGCTGCCGTGTGGTGAGGGTGATCAAGCAGCCCATGGGGAGGTCGACGGGGGAGAACTGAGGCCTCCTACCCACAGCCTGCACCGTGAGAGTGAACCATCCAGAAAGTGGATCCTCCTGGCCCAGTTCAGCCTGCAGGTGCCGGCAGCCCCGGCTGACAGGGGACCCTGGCCTCACGAGAAATCCCAGGCCAGAGACACCCTGCTACATTGCTCTCAAACCCCTGGCGATGAGAAATGTTCTCAGTTCTCTTGAGCCTCTGGGTTTGGGGGTGATTCTCTCTGCAGCCCCAGGTAACTACCATGCCAAGGTCTACCCCCTCAAGTTAATCCCAGCCCTGTCACCCACGTGCGCTGCGACCTCTGTCATGTTATTTAACCTCAGCTACTACATGGGAACGGCAACAGGCCCCTGTGTGAAGCCCTCAGCACAGTGCTGGGCAGACGAGAAGGGCCTGAAACGGAAGTTACAGCTGTGGTGACTCCCTGATGACACACCACCTGGTGGCCTTCACCACCGCTGCAAGGTCGGGCTGGTCTCCACTGCACCAGGAGCATGCTGGGGGTGAGGCCTGCACCTTGAACTTCAGGTCCCTTGGGGCACAAGACGGCTCCATGGGGAACACCGAGTGATCTCTTGGGAACTGATGCTGTCAGAAGGCAGGTCCCTCAGACACCCCGTTATGCTGCTGGCCCTTGGTCCCTGCCCGAGGTGGGGACACCACCATGGTGACCCTGCACAACCCGGACAGCCTGCACAGCCCTGCAGGGCAAGTCCGTCCTTCAGTTCTCTGAGCTCCATGTCTTCCCCCTGAAAAGGGGACGAGCTTGTCCCGGAGGACTCTGCAGAAAGGATTTGGTGACGATGCCGCAGAAACACCCGGGCTCCGTGGTGGGTCATAACCATGCAAACACTAAAGAATCTGGCCCAAAGCTGTCACTCCCTATCCGTGGTCTGAATGCTGGTGTGCCCCCAGATTCACAGGTTGAAACCTAACTCCCACTGGGATGGAATCTGGCAGCAGGGCCTCCGGGAGGCAATAAGGTCAAACTCATGAAAGGGCTCGGGGCTCTTATCAAAGAGACCCCTGAGAGCTCCCTCACCCCTGCCTCCATGTGAAGAGATGGGCACCTGCGAACCAGGAAGCAGGTCCTCTCCAGTGCCTGGATCTTAGACCTCCAGACTCCGAAACTGTGAGAAATAAATGTTGTTTACAACCCAGTTGTAATTCCAGTCTGTGGGATTCTGCTGTAGCAGTCCAATGGACCAGGACACTACACCGGGCGAAATGAGAGAAGCAGCACTGTGGGGGGAAGGGGGAAGTGGTGAAGACAGCAAAATTCTCATCTCCTAGAGGAGGAATTAATAGTCTGCTTTCAAAACTGAAATGACACACAATTCAAGAAATAACAGTATAAGGAAGTTATTTAGACATATGGAGGAGAAAGCAGAAAAAACAGCCAAATAAGATGAAAACAGATGTCTATGGAAACTGGGGAGGGACAGGGTGCTTGCTAACAAGTCTTGTAAAATTATGTATCATATATACATGCACAGGTAAACAAATACACAGATACATACACAGACATACACACGTAACTACATATACATATATATCACATGCATGTGAAACTTGACACGTGTCTTGAAACTCACGTTGCCAGAATTGCAAACAGACATAAAGTGCTGCCAGATGGGGCTGCCCGGGGAGGGGCTGTCGCAGCGGCCCTACCTGTGAGCGGCTGCTGCTTGGCAGCATCCCAGACCTTCGCAGCCCTGCCCGCCACGCTCAGCAGGACGCCGTCGGCGGTGGGGTGGAACTGCAGCACCTCCACCTGGGCGTCCTCGGGGCCCAGCAGCAGCCCAGGCGCCGAGGGCAGTGCCTGGCCAGACGCTGGCAGTCGCCACAGTTTCACCTGCAGAGAATAATGAGTCTATGAGCCCAGGGCTGGCGGGGGGCGGGGGGGGCATCCCGCTGCCTCCGTCCAGCCTTGTCCTGGGTGCCCCCACCCAGGGGAAGGGAGGGGGCGGGCTCAGGGGCCGAGGGGAAGACGTGGGAGTGGGGGGAGCTGCTCTGCTCTGTCCCCTCAGGCCTCCCACCACCCGGGCCCTGCTGTCCACAGAAGCTGAGCAGCAGGGCACAGGTCACAGCCCTGGCTCAGAGCAAGTTCCCGGGGGCGCACGAGAGCTGATGTGGGGGAACCAGCAGGGCCCTGGGCTCTCAGAAGGCTGCAAACAGGTCTTCCAGCCGCTCCGCTCACCATCCTGTCAGCTGAGGCTGTGGCCAGGAGAAAGTCATCGAAGGGGGAGAAGTCCAAGTCCGTGACCAGGTCTGTGGGAGAGAAACAGCTGACATGGCCTGACGAGGATGAATGTCCTGTTCTGACCCACTGTACCCTCTCCCAAGGCCAGAACCACAGCCCAGGGCCTCCTGGCTGACCCTCTGCCCACACGATGGCAGTCTGGAAATCCTCAAGGGGAGGGCACCTTCAGGGACCGTGGGCCAACACCGCAGGTCCCCACCTGCCAGACACAGGCCCAGACTTGGCCCCCGGTGGCCAAGGGCCCAGCATCGGGAGACTGGCAGGATGGGTAGGAAGCTCCCCAGGTCACCAAGTACCTGCATTCGCCCAAAATCCAGAGCCTAGTTTGGGTGAACAGACGCAAGCGCCAGCCCCCATGTGAATCACAAACAGGACAGACCACAGGCCACTCAGCGCTCAAGGACCCTCCCCACCTCCACAGGGACACGCACTTCTCTGCGAATGCAGCAAGAGCAGGGCTGAGCATGGAGGGGGGCTTCCTGGAGGGGGCACAGCGGGCCCCGGAGAACACTGAGGGTGGCATGGGTCAGGGCACCAGGCAGGCAGGGGACAGGGGTGACACTGCCGACCTAGGAGTTCTCTGCCCCCTGACAAGCCAGGGCTGGCCCACCTGCAGGAGCGCACCCGCCCCAAGCCCAGGCGCCAGCTTCTCTCTGAAGGGAATGAGACCGGGAGCAGGAGGCCGAGTGACAGGGCACCTTAGGGACTGGCCTGGGTGGACAGCAGCCAGCCGGGAGGCGGTGGTCAGCTCTGGGCAGGACCCTCCAAAGGTCTGTGTGTCCAGTTGCTTCTTCAGTTCTGGAAGTTCCCCAAGAGTCTCCCAATAAACCCCTCTGTGGCTTATGAGAGCTGGAGTTGGTCTCAGATCCTTGCAACTGAAGAACTTGAACTACTCAGCTCTGGGGGAACCAGGAGGAGGAATGGGGCGCACGGAGTGAGCCAGAGCCCAGAAGGGAGGTGAGACTGGGGGCTTCAGCCAGGCAGAGACTTGGGTGTACAGCTGGTTGGGATGTGAGCAGGACAGCCAGGCCTGAGTCACCAAAGCAAGGAGCACAGTGACCACCTTCCTGCCAGCCTCCCTGGCAGGGCCGAGCAAACACACTGTCCTCCCAGGCCAGAGGACCCGTAAGACAAGGGAGAGACGGGGTGGACTGGCAGAGGCACTCCTGGGACAACCCCAACCTGGACTCCTGACCACAGAACCCTGCACCCAATCCTGAGGGCTCCTGACAGGACAGGGCAGGGCCCGGGCTGGGTGCAGACTCTGGCCTCCCCAAGGGAACGAGCAGCGGCCAATCTGGGTACCCAGCAGTGCTGGAAAGACTGTGGCCTGAAGGGTCATCTCACCAACTCCTCACAACGACCCTCAGGATGGCACTATGGCCTCATCCCCAAGTGGAGGATGAGAATACGAGGACAGAGAGGTTAAGTCACTTGCCCAGAGCTGCACAGCTAAAAAGGGGCCAGGCTGAGGGTCGGGCAGTCAGCCCAGATTCAGAACCTACATCCTCAGCACAACAGCTCGCAGCCTTTCCCACATCAGAGCAGGCCACCAGTCACCGCCCTCCAGCCCAGTCCTGCAGAAACGGTCTCCAGATGCTGCCCAACCTTCTGCTCCCCAGACCAAAGGGCCACCCAAGAGCTGAGAGGCAGAAGGTGCCCCAGGTGCACCCCGAAGTCAGAGCAGCAGCCAAAACCCGTCACTGCAGACCCCCCACCCTCCACCAGCACCCAAAGGGGAGAGGAGTGCCTGGTGCCCCAAGGGTAGGTTCTGAGGAGCTGGAGTGAAGCGCCCCCAGGACCAGTTTCCGGGCAAGGCTGCTCCCTTGGGGAGAGGTGCCGGACAGCTGCAGCCACAGAGAGGCTATGATCCACCACAAAGCCCAGTCCAGCTGCCAGTAACAGGGGTCTAACCACCCTGCATGCAGCTCCAACTTGGAGCCACTTCCTTGTGAAGAATTACAAAGCCAACAGCACTGTGCCTAAAATACCTGGGTTCCGACTATGGCTCTGCCAGCAGCAATGCCAACATTGCTAAGTTCCTAATAATCCCTTTGAGCCTTGGTTTTCTTAGCTGAAAAATCAGTTATTTAAAAACCTACTTCTTGAGAATTCCCTGGTGGTCCAGTGGTTAGGACCTGGTGTTTTCACTGCCGTGGTCCCAGGTTCAATCCCTGGTCGGGGAACTAAGATTCTGCAAGCTGTATGGCACAGTCAGATAAAAAATAAAAACAGAAACCTACTTCAGAAAGGTATGAGAAAACAGAATTCGTCTACGGGCTACGTTAGATGGATCGCAAACATATTATGCCGAATGAAACAGACCAGATTTGAAAGGATACATATAACATGAATCCATTTATGTGAAACATCCAGAGAAGGCCAGTCCATAGAGCAGAAATCAACCAACGTTTTCTGAAGGCTGGGACAGAAAACATTTCAGGCTTCGAGGGACATACGGTACCCGTCTCCTTAACTCTGCAGTTGTTGGGAAAAGCAGCCACAGACCGTAAGTCAATGAAGAGGCGTGGCCGTGTTCCAATAAAACTATTTACAAAGACAGGCAGCAGGCCAGTTCTGGCCACACAGTAGCTCACAGCCCCTGCTGCAGAGGCAGAAAGATCCATGAATGCTTGAGCCTTCAGCGCCCGAGGCAAACACATTAACTGCGAAGGGGCATGAGGGGTCTTTTCAGGATAACGGAAATGTTCTAAAACTGAATGGTGGGATACCCGACCCTGTAAATTTAACAAAAGGCATCGAATTCTTCATATAAAACAAGCAATGTTTATAAGTATGTAAACGATACCTTGACAAAGTTGTTTTAAGTTTTAAGCAAGGATGGGGTAAGAAAACGAAGGCAGCGCTGAGCGCCCACGGAAAGCTCCATCATTCTTCACTACCGTCATCTTATTAACCACCACCCTCTGCATCAGGACCGAGATGCTGAGCTGCACACCCAGACTGGGGATGAAGGATCAGCGCCCTTCTCTCACCCTAGGCCGCCCAAAAGGCGGCCAGGAACACAGGCCAGAGGGTCTGGGCCCGTGGCCACTGCAGCTGGACGGGAAAAGAAGAGGCGCTGCTGCAGCCTGAGAAGACCAAACTGTTCCCTCGATGTGGGCAGGCTGCCAGGCGGACTGCTGGGCGCCCCCAGAAGCAGCTGCAGGGGTGGACAAAAGCTCTCTTTGTGAGGGCCCATCTCTGGCTCCGCAGCCCAACCAGCCCCCTCCTTGGAGGGCCCTCAGCAGCCTGCCTGGCTGGGAGGATGCCTGCTGTGAGAGGTGATCTGCTGGGCTCCAGACAAGCACACGGGACGAAGAATCACACGGGCTTGAGTCTTCCACAGTGACAGGGAGCCATCAGCAGCCTAGAGCCTGGCACGGGCCGGTGCATACCCTCCTCCTTCCAGTCTGACCACCTGGAGCACCAGCTTCCCTCCTCTCTGCCCAGGCTGGAGTTCTCAACCAGCAACAGTTTTCCCACAGTGGGGATGGCAGGAGGGGCCCAGCCAACCACGGGGGTGTAGGACCAGGTGAGTAGGAATCCCTGGCCCCAGGGCGGGAGGAGTGAGTTCCAGGCATCCTGGTTTCCGTCCCCACTCACCTGAATGGCAGCCCAGGTGAGTCACCTGTCTCTTGTCCTCTCCCTGGCTTTCCAGAGGCACGATGCCCAGCACACCTGTCAAACACACACAGGGGCTCTGACTTCAGGCCTAACGGGGGATCTACTGCCCAGGGCTCCCAGAGGACATGAGACCCAAGAGGTTGGCCTCAGACCTTCCTGAAGCCTCCACCAACGGTAACACCACATCCTTCCGGATGGAGTGGTTGGCCCGGGATCAGTTCCTGCCCCGCACAAGAGTGTTCCGTGACATCGACTATGCAAAGACACAAGTTGTCTCTTTACGGCACTGTTTGGCTTTAGTAGTCAGCTTGGGGCCACCAGCTGCCACCTTCCCAGTTCTACTTGAGAAAGAAGCCATCACCCAAGGGCAGCAAAGCTGAGGGACAGGATACAGTGAGATACAGCTCTGCCTGAACCCCCTGGAGTTTAGTTATATAAACCAAACGGTAACTGTTTTATCTGTTTCTTGCTGAAGTCAATTTGAGGTCTGAGTCATCACTAGCAACCTTCAGAGCCCCAACTAACACAGGGAGCTTCTACCCCCCTATTGACCCCAGCTGCCCCGCATGAGGAGTGGGTTGCACATGGGGACTGCTGGAAACAAAAGCAACAGGCCCCCACCCCCGCCCCAGGCCAAGCTCTCGAAGACTACAGCCAACACGTTTATACAACATGTTCTATAAAATGCCCAAATTGAAGTCCATCTGCTTACTGCACATTGACCTCTTTGCAGGCGTCTAAGGCCCCTCATGGTGCTGACTTCTGAACCCCGAGAGGTCCCGCCAAGCCTCTGGCCTACAACGAGCCTGTCCTTCTGCCCTTGGTAGGGTGACAACATCTGACTCTCCACATCCATGTTCACCTCCCTACCTGGACGGTCAGAGTTGAATGCAATTAAGCTGCAGCTGGCTTTGATATGGTTCCCACATGAGGGGGCAGTGCCTGCTCGAATATCACTGATCCAGGCCTGAAAATAGAGAACCAAAAAAAAAAAAAAAAAAAAGGGTTGGCTAGGGCTCTGCCTAAAGCAGGGAGTAGGGCATACTGGAGAGAGACTCTACTTTAAGGCTGCACCATTAGAGATGCAGGCCTTTGAATCAAACCCTGTCCCCACGCACAGTCCCTTAGAAAATACAAAAAATGTCCTTGAAATAACAACCTGTCATAAGGGAGTCAATTAATATTGAATTAAAGTATTAAATAAGTTCTCTAATAAGGGGCAGGAAAATGTCTGAAGGAAGCTCAGGCTGAACGAAGTCAAGGGGCTAACTGGGCCGTGTGTGTGTTGGTTGGGGGTGGGGACTGATGTTAAAAGGGAGAGAGAAGCAGAGAAAGGAGAAGTGAGCGTCTAAGACAGACAGACTCAACTTCCTCAACCTAGTATGCGTCTCCTCCGAGCCCCGGAGGGGGAAAATACAACAAGCTCAGAAAGGGGACAGTCAAGGCCTTTCCACAAAGTCCTATAGTCAGGTGAACGACGCACCCCCACGAATAGACAATGATGTTAACACCCCCAGCAGAAGAGCAGAGCAACTCTTTTTCTAAGACTGAGCTCGGCGAGGTCCCAATGTTTCCTGTATCAGCACCTCACAGCATCCCTGACAATTGTCGAGCACCCACATGTCCCAGCCCACCCGCTGAGAACATCCCGGAAACCACCCCCAGCACTCTAGTTTCTATTTCAGTGTTCACCTGCTGGGGTAGAATGTTATCATCCAGTATTATTCTTCCCTCCGGACTCGTGTTTACTGTACAAATACAGTGACAGGAAATACAATAGTTTTGACAAAGAGAACACAACACCTGTCCTCCCATCTCCCTAACCTTAAACAGTGTTAAGCTCTCTCTGCTATCTCTACTTCCACACCTGTCTGCTCGCCTTGCTGGACTGAGGTCCACCAGGAACAAGTCCACTTGAGCCCCTCAAGTCCACTCTAGACCTCTCCAAGCAGTACTGACTACACTGAGTGACGGTCTTAAATGCAAACGTGAGAACCTCTCTGCCACCACCCTTCAACCCTTCGATGGCTACCCACTGCACTCAGAAGAAAATCCAGCTTCTTCCTGGGGCTCTCGGGCTCTGCAGGCCCACTCTGAACTAATCTGACATCATGCTTCCCTCTCACTGCCCTCTAACCACCCTGCCCCACTTTCCTTCCTCCACCAGGCTCCTTCAAACCCGACTCTTCCCGATTGCCCAGCTGCTTCTCACCCTTCCTGCCTTAGCTTAAATGTCACCTCCTCCCAGCTGACGTCCTGGACTACCCTACTGTGATTAATTCCACTTCTAGGTCTGTCTTCATCTTAATCCCAGCGCCACCGTGTGTGTTCCCCAGTGCACTTATTAAAACTTGCATTGCCCTTGCCTGCCTGCATGCTTGCTGTCTCTCTCCTGAGCCTGTAAACACCAGAGAGGGAGGAAATTGCTGTTGTGTTCACCACTGTGGTTCCAGCAGCTGGACATGCACGTGGGACATGCCCAGGAAACACTGTCCAGAGGATCAGAAGCAGGCTTCTGCTTCAGGCTGTCCTGATGGGAGATGGCCTCTGATGGAGTCACCAGAGGTCAGTTTCTCCTCTTCAAGACACTCCCAGGCCTTCCAAATAATGTTTCACTGCAGACCCGGGCTGGCATGACTCTGAAGCACACCCCTCATCAGGCCTGCTGCCTTTCCGGGGGGCCGAGGGGACTCCCCCGCCACCTGGTTCAGCTCTTTCTCTCGCCTCCACCTGCTTCGGCTTCCCACGCCCCACCCAGGCTTTGGCAGCATCACCCTGAGTAGGGGAAGAACTCAAGCCAGCCGCGAGAGGAAGCGCCGGCGGAAACCCAAGGGAGGGGCGCCTCTCTGGTCGAGGAGCTCCCCTTCTCCAGTGACACACCCGGACTCGCCAAGCCAGGACAGAGGGGCATCTCTCTCGCACCCCAGCCCCGGGCAGGGGCGATCGAAGAGACGGGGAGGAAGAGCTGTGGCTCCCAGGCCAACCGGAAACCAGGAAGGCAGGCAGCCTCGTAGGCCTCAGGCCTCGGCCCCACCAGGCGGGCGGCGCCGCCTCGGGGGTCCCGTTGCGAGGCAGGACCTCGGTGCTCAACGAGAGCCCAGAGAGTGTCCCAGGAGCGCCAGGCTCTGACCGCCGCTCGGCCACAGGGCGGCCTGGACGCCTGACCCGGGCCTGAAGGTGGCGCCCCCGGGGCAGGCGGGCTCGGGAGGGTCCCCGCGCGGGGCCAGGGGCGGGGGAAGGGTGGCCGCCGGGCAAGGGGCGACGGAAGCCGGGTTTACCTCGCGGCGGGACGGCCGAGCCTCCGTGTGCCGGAACTTGGACACCTTGAAGCGGTTCATGGCGGCGGGGACAGCTGCGAGTACAGCTTCGCGGACCCGGGCGTCGGCTCTCAGGTGCACGGCTCGCAGCCGGGACTCCCGCCGCCTCCGGCCCCACCCGCGGCCTGCCGCCCGTGGCCACGCCCCCTACGCGCCTCAAGCCAATCGCAGCCATCTCCGGCCTGTCGGGCCACACCCCCATCTCCCTCTCCCTCAGCGCGCACGCCGCAGGCCCCACCTCCCGGCCAATCGCCGCTCGACCGCCCCTCGAGGCCACGCCCCAATGCCGGAGGGTTGGAGTCGCGGGCCGCGAGGTCACGTGCGGCGAGCTGTCCGCCCCCGGCAGGGTTGGGCGTGCAAGACCCTGGACCACGGCTGCGATTTTTGTGGGCAGGGTTTGGCCCCGGGAGGCTTTCCAGGGTTCGGGGCACGCCCTTCTCCGGGAGGAGGGAAAGCAAAAATGAACTAGCTCCATTTCGGAGACAAGGGGGAACGCTCTCAGGCGCCGCTGGCACCGGGTCACAGGGATAATGAATGGCAGCGGAGGAGAGCCCGGATCTGAAGCAAATCCCTGCCGGTGGGACCTACTCTAAAGGCTTCGCTTCTCACCCACCCTGCTTAGGTCAGGTGGGCTCCGTAGGAGGGGGGAATGGAGCCTTCAGCGTCCCTTATAAGGGCAAGTCTTGGCCGCAGGCCTTGGGCGCTGTGGGCCAAGACTCCCGGTAGGCAATCAATCAATTACAGATAAGCTGAAACGGCAGTAGATAAGGGCTATGGAGAATCCCTTGAATGGCCAGTTTGCCCAACCAGCGCTTCTTGTTTAGTTACGGAACAAACCCGGGGCCATTCATTCCACAAGCCTTTCTCTTCGCTTTGAAAATTGACTCTGTGATTCCAGAATAGGCTTTCTGCTTGATACCAGACAGAACACCTGCTCAAGCGTGTCTAGAAAGGGGACTTTGATCTGAGGAAGACGAATGATCAGTCGCAGCGGCCAGCTCCTGTGAAAACTCGCTTCCCGCAGCCGGCTGCAAACAGCAGCTTCAACTGACGCTGACTGCCTAGAAGGTCATTCTGAAAGCTCGGCCTGGCGAGGAGCACGCATGGATCCCTAAAATGCAAGTTCTTTTTTTCAGTTCTCACAGGTAAACTGTGACCACTCAAAGGCCATTACTAAGTTATGAGGGAACTTTGATCTCCATAGATTGTCAGGTAAGTTGACTGAGCTGGGATTTTGAATTTTGAGCAGGCTGGCAGCCACTGAAGTGCAGCTTTCCCACGACATACTCTTCAGACACTGGAATTCCAGCAGCTTTGCAAAAGGCACCATTAGTGCAATCCTGAGTTGGTTAGTTGTGGTGTTCAATTATTGCAGACATCGCTTGTGCTTTTTATAAAAAACTGTGGCCAAAAAAAAAATAAAATTTAACATTTTTACCTATACAGTTCAGGAGTGTTCAACTTTTTCATGCAACACTGGAACTATAGCCATTAGACAACAGCTCATTTCCCCTTCCCCCCAACCCCTAGTAACCATCATTCTGCTTCCTGTTTCTATGAATTTGACTACTTTAGATACCAAATCTAAGTGAATAATACACCATTTATCCTTCTGTGACTGGCTTATATCATTTGGTGTAAGGTCCCCATATCTGTAGACCAAATTTAGCCCATGGAATGTCCATCTGATGCTTTCAAACTGTGGTGGTAGGGAAGACTCTTGAGAGCCCATTGGACAGCAAGGAGTCTAACCAGTCAGTCCTAAAGGAAATCAATCCTGAATATTCATTGGAAGGAATGATGCTGAAGCTGACACTCCAATACTTTGGCCACCTGATGCAAAGAACTGACTCATTGGAAAAGACCCTGATGGTGGGTAAGACTGAGGACGGGAGGAGAAGAGGGCAACAGAGGATGAGATGGTTGGATGGCATCACCGACTCAATGGACATGAGTTTGAGCAACTCCAGGAGATAGTGAAGGACAGGGAAACTTGGCATGCTGCAGTCCATGGGGTGGCAAAGAGTCAGACACAGCTGAGTGACTAAACAACCTCTGGGGGGTTAAAGTTCATTTGTTACCATTTGTTACCTCTGGGGGTTAAAGTTCTGACTCTAGCTGTGCTGGGTCATGTAACTCTTGCTACAAACTAGGGGCTGGTGGAAGAAAACTATAAGAATGTCAGCTTTTCGATTGCCATAGTGACCAACTTGAGTGCCACAGCAGGGGAGAGGGACATCAGAGGGACCAGAGGGACAGAGAGGGACCAGAGGGACCATCCCATATGTAGCCAGGTCCATTCTGGCTGGAGAGAGTGATTCTAGTAGAGTTCAGAACTCGAAGACTGCTGCAGACTTGAGCAGATTAAATTTCTTCATGGATTGCAAAATTCAACTGACAGCCTGCATGATTCTTTCTAGCCCCCCAGGCGGGCTAGAATTACTAGCTTTGTAGAATTACAAAGAATTACTAGCTTTGTCTCTGCACTCCTAGAATCCCAACCTCTCTGTTTGCTTAAAAGGACACTGGAAGACACCTCTCCACCCTCAAAGGCAGTCTATCAAAATATGGATCAAATTTCAACAAAGGGAGGATGTCTGGTTAGCTAGGTGCATGACAAGAAGATGTTGATTTCACAGGTCCTATTTCCAAGAGTAATTAATAATGAACAAGAATTTGGCACTCCAGTTGTAGTGAAGTCCTCATTCTAGAAAAATCAGAAGTGCTTCGTGTAACCACAGGAAGAGACATCAGTGGAAAGAAAAGAGACAAGCAAAAAGAAATCAAACACACACACACACACACACACACAAGCATTAAAGAGCCTTAGGAGGCATCTTTACTTTATACTATGATGCTAAAGAAAAGAAGTTTCTGACACGGTGTTCCCTTAATCTTCAGCAAGGTCAGTGGTTTCCGTAAAGTAGAATTTTTGTAAGAAAGGGAGGGATGAGGCCAGAATCAGTGCCAACAGCAAATTATTTAGATCTAGTTATCTGCCCCTGAAATGACTATTTATTAAAATATACATTGAAAACATTTTTTTTATGCATAAGCCCTGCCATGTTCATTTCAGGAGCTGACATAGAAAGGCATGTGTAGTTATGTCAACAGAGGAAAAGAATTATTAAGCTACAAAATACATTTCAAAAGTGGAGGAAAACATGACTGCAGCCTGTGTTGTTATTTTGTTGTTTATGGAGGTGCACCCATGTAGTCTTGGGGTTCAGGAGTCTTACTACATCTAGTGATTTGTTCTGATTTTTTGCAAGTTATGTATATCTATTTTTGTCCACACCATGCAGCATGAGGGAATCTTAGTTCCATGACCAGGGATCGAAACCATGCCCCCTGCAAGGGAAGCCCAGAGTCTTAACCGCTGGACCACCAGGGAAGTCCCCGAATATTTTAATAGAAACACACACTTAACTTTTGTGGTGATAATTCACAACTAAAGGACATTTCCATAGAAAAGTCTGTCATTTTCTAAGGTGATGTTTTGCACTTTGGAGTCTGCTAATCTCTGGGGGATCCAGAGTTTTATTTTCAGCATCTGTGATTCCCCCCCCCCCTTTTTTTTCCATTTAAGAGTTCCTTTCAGAGACTTCCCTGGTGGTCCAATGGTTAAAAATCCACCTTGCAGGGCTTCCCTGGTGGCTTGGACCATAAAGAATCTGCCCACAATGCAGAGACCCAGGTTCAATCTCTTGGTTGAGAAGATCTCCTGGAGAAGGGAATGGCAACCCACTCCAGTATTCTTGCCTGGAGAGTTCCATTGACAGAGAAGCATGGCGGGCTACACAGCATAGGGAACCACGCCCCTATAATTAAAAGAAAATGATAAATAAAAATTCACCTTGCAAAAAAAAAAAAAATTCACCTTGCAATGCAGGGGGACATGGGATCAATCCCTGGTTGAGGAACAAAGATCCCACATACCATGGGACAACTAAGCCCAAAGGTCACAACTAGAGAGTCCATAAGCCACAACAAAAGAAGCCACATGACATGAAGAAGATCCCTGGTGCTGCAGCTAAGACCCCACACAGCCAAATTAAATAAATATTTTTTTTGTAAAAAGTTCATTTCTCAGGTTTGTAAAACACTGCTGAAGTTTAAGCCTAGTTTGGGCAGAAGGGTATTCAGCTGGGAGCTAGAGTCACTTGTGGTTTAAAGGGCCTTTAAGGAGATCATTAACATGAAAGTCCCATTGGAAATACCTGGGTGAGCCAGGCAAGGACACAGTTCATCTCCTGCTGCAGGGGACTGCACCCATTGCAGAGGTCAGGCCTGGAAACATCTGGGCCTGACACTCCACAGTTCCTCGCAATTGCCCCACACTCTCTTGGGCTTCCCTGGTAGCTTAGATGGTTAAAGAATCTGCCCACAATGCAGGAGACCCAGGTTCAATTTCTGGGTCCGGAAGATACCCTGGAGAAGGGACTGGCACCCCATTCCAGTATGCTTGCCTGGAGAATCCTTATGGACAGAGGAACCTGGCGGGCTACAGTCCACGGGGTCACAAAGTCAGACACAACAGAACAACTAACACACACACACACACCCTTGGGGAGGAAAGAAAACATTACAACTAGAGAAATGGTGAGCTGGCTGTGTTGCCCTTGAAGGCTTAGGCCTGTCTGCCCTCCCTGGAAGGGATCCTCACTCACAGTGGAGAAGGACCATCATCCCATCACAGAGCCAAGGACTTGGGAGGTCCCTTGCACCTCAGGTGGCCGGTGTCCACTGGAAATCATGGGGTAGACCCTCTGGTCTCCCTTGGCCTTCAATCCGGCATGTCCCGGTGGACCATACTTCAATTCCCTGCTAGCGCTCACAGACCTCCTCACCTCAGGGGAGCCGAGAGGGCCCAGTGGAATAGTAAAATGAGAAGTGAAGACAGGGAGAGACTTGTGCAACTTGTCTGCCTCTTGCAAAACGTTTGTTTCTCCTTAAAGCTCAAGTTTTTAGCTTTAGACTGGAGAAGGGGGCAGCGGGAGTTGGGGGAAGGTGGTGGAGAAAGCAGACCCAGGACATATTCTGCCTGACAGTGTGGGTAGATGTATCCTGTGTGTTCATCCCAGTTTTTTAATCACAAGCCTGGTGAGGATCTGTTTGCGTTTCATCACAGCTGAAAGACCTGGATGGCAGTGAAATAGTCTGTAGGTGAGGGTGGTAGTAAATATTACCCCTGCTTCCTTTCGTTGTGAAAATCAAATGAAACTCTGCATGAGGAAGTGCTCTGTAAGCCATCCAGAGCTGTATAACTGGGAACTATTGATCATAATCTATGAAGGCACATGGTTTAAAGGAAAGAGTTCTGGTTTGGCTGTTAGAAGATCTTGGTTCACTGACTCACAAGCTGTGTGACGTTGGACAAGTTTTTCCACTTTTCAGGGCTTAGTTTGGTGGTGTTTTGTGGGAGGCTGGGGAGAGGGTCCATTCATAAAAATGCGGCTAGCCTCTGCCCTACTTAACCTAGAGGGCTGTGACTGTATCAAGAGAGAAAACATGAGAAGTTCTTTGTGAACCGAAAAGAGACTGCCTGAAATTGGTCCCATAGATGTCTCAAGGTTGTTACATCCAAATAAAAATAATTCATTATCAGATTTCCCTGGTGGCACAGTGGATGGGAACCTGCCTGTAAATGCAGGAGACATGGGTTCGATCCCTGGTCTGGGATGATTCCACCTGCTGCGGAGCAACTAAGCCAGTGCGCCACAACTACTGAAGCCTGTATGCTCCAGGGCCCGAGAGCCACAGCTAACAAGCCCTTGTGCTTCAACTACTGAAGCCTGCGCACCCTAGAGCCAGCAAGCTGAAACCACTGAGCTCACACACCTAATGCCTGTGCTCCGCAACAAGAAAACCCAACCACTGCAGTGAAGACCCAGCGCAGCCAAAAGAAAAAAAAAAAAACAAACTTCATTATCTTTTCCCCCCAAACCGCTCCTTTCCCAGGATTTTTAGTTTGGAATGACCACTGCTTAAAGAACATAAAAAAAGCATATTCATTGTCTCCAAACAACCATCAGCTGAGGCTGATTCAGGAAGTACAAACCAAGGGCCACATCTGTGGAGACTTCCCACGCTTTGTACCATACTCACATTTAGTAATTGTATCATCTCCTGTTTTTCTACGGTGATTAGCAGTGAGAGAAACCAGGAGCAGGCCTAGGCTACTCCTCTCTCCAGGGAGTCTTTTTTTTTGGCTGTGTCTCTAGTTGAGGCATGCGGGTATAGTTGCCCCTAGTTGACACATGCAGGTATAATTGCCCTGTGGCATCTGGGATCTTAGTTCCTGACCAGGGATTGAACCCATGTCCCCTGCATTCGGAAGGTGAATTCTTAACCACTGGATCACAGGGAAGTCCCCTCACCAGGGAATCTTGCCAGAGGCTTTCTGTGTTCTGTTCAGGGCCTTTCCTTCCTCCTTTAGTATCCACCCTCATCTACTCCACTACCCTGGGGCTCTCTGCTTCATAAGAGGAGATATAGGCTCCCTGACAAATGGCCTTCCTATTACCTGCTAAAACAAGAATACATACCCACTTTCTGTATGGAGGATCTTTGCTGTTAATCACTATGGGGAAACAGATAGAAGAGGGAGACTAAAATATCAAAAAATGAGCGTTACAAGGCTGACAAAGTTTTCATACTAGTGAGCCCTCATTCCTAACTCACTCTGAGGTGGTAAATGAAAATCTCTTTGGCTTTTGTTCTCAACTTTCATTCCTGAAAGCTGTACTTCTCTCAACCAGCACCCTCCCACCTCCCCTTAGGCTTTGGGATCCTGTGGGCAAGTACCTGTCAGTGTTCTCTCCGGTGTTCCAGTGGTTAGCACAGAGCCTGAGCACACACTGATGACTTACCACGTGCTGAGTACAGTATGAAGGCTTTACGTGGATGATCTCACTCTCTCCTCAGATGATCCCTTGAAGTATTACTACACCCTGGTACTACTATTCCCCATTTGAGAGAACGGAAACAGGCACACAGAGGTAAAGGAAGTCGTCGAAGGACACGCAGCTGTTAACTTTAACTGGCAGAGCTGGGATTCAGCCCCAGGCAGTCTGACTCCAGAGCCCATACTCTTAAAGCACTATGCTGTGCTGTGCTGAGTTGCTCAGTCATGTCCGACTCTGCAAACCCAAGGACTGTAGCCTGCCAGGCTTCTCTGGCCATGAGAATTCTACAGGCAAGAATACTAGAATAGGTTGCCACACCCTTCTCGGGGGGATCTTCCCAACAAAAGGATTGAACCCAGGTCTCCCGAATTGCAGACGGATTCTTTACTGTCTGGGCCACCAGGGAAGCCCCAAAGCACCATGCTGGAGACATTTAAATATTTGTTGAATATATCAAACAAACTTATACCCACTTCCCCTCCCATGTCAATCTTTTCCTGTTTCTCTATAACATTCCTTGCTCACCTCAGTTCTCTGAATTCCCTGGCCCAAACTCTCGAGTATTCCTTACAGTTTACAGCAGCTTCTTAACTGTTCTTCACTGGACCAGTGGTTTTTAACCTTCTTTCAATCTTAGAGCCTGTGGAGGATTTGACTGATGAAAGCTATGTATATTTCCCCAGATTAATAACCACATACACAAAAATGTCATGTGTAATGGGGGAGAAGCAAGGAGCACACATCACCTTAAATCCATCCAGGAGCCCTCAGGTTCCCTTTCTATTGTTAGGGGTGGTGGTGGTGGGAGTATGAAAGTGGAAACCCCTCTGCAGGACTAACCAGACCAGGTTCTTCTTTCTAGACTCATCTCCAGTCATATATCCCATGTTTAGCTAGCGCGTACAGGGCAAGTACTTTCGCATCTGCTTTTGAAGTTCTTGCTACTTAGAAAACTCTTCCCCTCCCCTCCAACCTGGCGCAGTTTTCACCAACGTCCAACTCAAACGTTGCCTCTTAGATGCCTTCCCTGACACCGAAATACCCCCAACCTGTCGGAGAAACTCCCTCGCCTGTGGGCCTGTAACACTCTTTATACCTTCAATAGCACTGACCACGTTATCTCAGTGGCTAAGATGCCTCTCGCCTCACTGTGTGCTCCTCCAAAGCACGGATGGCGTGTCAATCATCACTGTATCCTCGACGTTCTAGAACGCGCGTGACACCCACAATGTTTATTAAACTCGTTTTTGGCTAGCTCGGCTCACAGTCAGCGACCGGCAAGTTCACTGCAGGTTTGGAGACGACAAATACGCTTAGGAAAGAGCCGAGCGATCCAAGTCCTTTACGTGGTGAATCAGCCAGAGAAGAGTAAGCATGAAGCCCGGCTCTGGGAATAGGTTAACGAAGGGAACCGCTTGCGCACACCAGTCAGTAAGCCTCAGCAAGAAGACCTGAGGCTCAGGGTCACGAGAAAGGGAGCCGCAAGGCATGCTGGGATCTACGGGATGCACGGTCGCATGGCACGCCGGGATTTGTAGTCCGCCGCCGCCCAGGCCCCTCAGACCCGTTATATTTGGCTACATTCAATCACGTCTTTACATAGATAAGGTGCAGTATTGATCGTTCAGCACAGAATGGAGGGTCTTCTCAAGCCAAGTTACCAATTAGCACTTTTTAGAGTAAATACCTTTTCGGCGTCGGCGACCGAGAAAGCGCACTCGGTGCGGATGCGCACGCGCAACGCTCATAGTTCTCCCCACCTCCCCTCTCGAGTGACAGTAGCAAGCCCCGCCCCCGGAAGCGCCGGCCCTGCGCGCGTGCGTCGTCCTCGTGAGGCTGCCTTGAGCCGGGTGGCGCAGGCGCAGTGTCCCCGGGCCAAGATGGCGGCGCGGTGCTCTACACGCTGGTTGCTGGTGGCTGTGGGGACCCCGCGGCTGCCGGCTGCAGCGGGGAGAGGGGCCAGGCCACCCATTCGGGGCGTGGTAGGGGCGTCGCTGGGCCGCAATTTGAGCGCCACCGCCTTCCCGCCTTCCCTGGGAGGTCGCGGTCCCGGGGCGCTGCTGACATTGAGACCCGGTGTCAGCTTCACAGGTGAGGGCAGGCTCTAGCGCCCAAGGCCTGGAAAGGAGTGACTCACTTGGCTCTAGCTACGGGGGTAGCGGGGTGGAGTGTGTCTTCTGACCTAAGTGCGGAACCGCTCGGGGGAGGTGGGCCGGCAGGAGGCGGAGAGGCCCAAATGGCTGCTCAGAAGCGGTGAAGGAGGAAGAGCTGCGTGGAGTCTCGAGCGGAGGGGACGAAACGCCCCGAGGCCGTGAACCTTCCCTCTGGCAGTATTTCTGGAGACTTCTTTCCCGCCATCTACTGCTCCCCTGCCCAATTCCTTTCTCATCCCGCTTCTTCCTGGCCTGTAGCGGCGGGGCAGAGGGAACTGCCATTCGGTGAGCACCTGCTCTTGGGCTCGGTGGGCACTGTGTACCCATCTCACTTGATGGTAACAGCCCTACAAGGTGGGGATGATCATCCCCATTTTAAAGAGTGGGAAACTGAGGTTCTAGCAGAGTTGACCCGCCCAAGGTCATAAAGTTAGATAAGGAGAGCTGTCCCGAACCTAGAGTTGTTCTTGCAGAGCTTAGTCTCTTTCTGCCACATGGTGTAAATCGAAGGGCACACTGTTTTTTAGAGGTCTTCATGTTGGTTATTGGGCTTCCCTGGAGGCTCAGGGCGGTAGAGAATCTGGCCTGCCAGTGCAGGAGACGCAGGTTCTATCCCTGGGTCGGGAAGATCCCCTGTAGAAGGAAATGGCACCCCACTCCGTTATTCCTACCTGGGAAATTCCATGGACAGAGCCTGGCGGGCTACAGTTCTTGGGGTCGCGAATAGTTGGACACGTTAGGAAATGAGCATGTGTGTTGCTTATTGCAATAAAAATGCAAACTAATATTTACTAAGCACTTCCTATGTATGAGGTCTGGATTATTTCTGTGAGGTAGACACTTAACTATTATTTGGCCAAGCTGGTGGTCTTGTGGGATGTTAGTTCCCCAACCAGGGATGGAGCTGGGCCCCTGCAGTGAAAGTGAGAACTCCTAACCACTGGACTGCCAGGGAATTCCCACTATTATTCTGTTTTATAGGTTAAGAAACTGAGTCTTAGATGTTAACCTGTATAATGTCACAAAACTGAAAAGTGCTGCTTATTCCGTAATTGATGGGGGTGATGTTGGATTAACATATATTAAGCTTTTTAAGTGCTTAGCCATAGTGGTTTCTTACGCTGTGTGTTTGGGCAGTTTATCCCTTACAGTGAGATAAAGAAGGAGGAGCCATTGAACCACTAATTATGGTGCCTGAATTGTGCTAGGTGTTTGTGTCCCCTAGAATTTGTGCAAATGCTATTTTTATCTATAAACTTACAGAGATGATTAACTAGAGGGTCCTCACAAGGTAATTTACTTAAAGATAATGTCCTAGTAATATCGAGTTTTGTAATGCTTAACATAAAAGCCAGTCATTATGTATCAGTAATTGTGATTGCCTTGTACAGTGAACACTGGTTCCAGTAGAGTGTGTGTGTGTGTGTGTGAGAGAGAGAAAGAGACCTGGGTGGATTATTTAAATTCTTTTGTGCTTCCCTTTCCTAAATTGGAAATATTTTAATTTACAGGTATTTATTGAGGACTTGTCATATGCCAGATTCTGTGCTAGGTACTAGGGATACAGCAGAGAACAAAGAGATGGGATGTGATTTTGGTCAGGTGATCCCATTTGTTTATTCTGTTCCTGCCACCTATATTTCCTCACAGTAGTCTGCCCTGGTTTCCTTGGGATTTGGAAACGATGTCATGCTGTATTTCTCAATATGAGCAAAAGTGGTCATTTTTAGGTTTTACCAGTGTTTTCTAATGTCAAGGTTGTTGTGAATAGCATTTGCCTGCATCTTTATGTTCAAATATTGGGGCTTCCCTGGTGGCTCAGAGGTTAAAGCGTCTGCCTGCGATGCGGGATACCTGGGTTCGATCCCTGGGTCGGGAAGATCCACTAGAGAAGGACATGGCAACCACTGCAGTATTCTTGCCTGGAGAATCCCGTGGACGGAGGAGCCTGGTGGGCTACAGTCCATGGGGTCGCAAAGAGTCGGACATGACTGAGTGCCTTCGCTTTCACTTTATGCTCAAATATAATTCCTTAGATATCTATGAAGGTAAATTTGTTCATATCACACATGTACATATTTGGGGAACATTTTTTTGGTGATTGTGTATGTGTGAAAGGAGACAGACAAGCACTAAATACTGAGCCTGGCGTGGGGTGATTACTGAGGAACTACACAGTCAGCTGTCCTTTTCCCCAAGTGAGCCCAGTGCCCCCAGTGGGCATGTTTTGTATCAGGTCTTTAACATATGTGAGAGCGTCCTTCACTGTCCCCTACCACATCTTAGGGCATCAACTCAGCTCCCAAACATTGGTCTGTGATCTCATTGCAAATCCAGTAGTACAATTAAAAGATGTAAAAACAACACTTTAAATCTGACTTTTTCTCCCAGAGTGGAAGAAATTGCACTCATCTCACACACTAGCAAAGTAATTCTCAAAATTCTCCAAGCCAGGCTCCCAACAGTACGTGAATCACGAACTTCCAGATAGATGTTCAAGCTGGATTTAGAAAAGGCAAAGGAAATTGCCAATGTCCGTTGGATCATTGAAAAAGCGAGAGAGTTCCAGAGAAACACATACTTATGCTTTATTGACCGTGCCAGAACCTTTGACTGTGTGGATCACAACAAACTGGAAAATTCTTAAAGAGATGGGAATACCAGACCACCTGACCTGCCTTCTAAGAAATATGTATGCAGGTTGGGAAGCAACAATTAGAACTGGATGTGGAACAACAGACTGGTTCCAAATCAGGAAAGGAGTACTTCCAGGCTGTATATTGTCACCCTGCTTATTTAACTTATATGCAGAATACATCATGAGAAATGCTGGACAGGATGAAGCACAAGCTGGAATCAAGATTACTGGGAGAAATATCCTCAGATATGCAGATGACCTTGTGGCGGAAAGCGAAGATCTAAAGAGCCTGTTGATGAAAGTGAAAGAGGAGAGTGAATATGGACATGAGTTTGAGGAAATTCCAGGAGTTGGTGATGGACAGGAAGGCCTGGCCTGCTGCAGCCCATGGGGTTGCAAAGAGTCAGACACAACTGAGAGACTGAACTGCACTGACCATTTCCTACTTATTCTCATGTCTGATTATCCTTAATCTTGGCACCCTTCCTGGATATGGTCAATACCCTTGGCTGTCTTTTGTGCCTACACAGATTTTAGTAGTTTACCAGTCCTGGTTATGGTTTGAGAGTTCTTTCTCATGCAAAGAAGCTACTTGCAGTAGCTCCCTGTTACCCTCAGGATAAAATCCAAACTCTAGCATCACTGACTCAATGGATGTGAGTTTGAGCACACTTGGGGAGATAGTGAAGGATAGGGAAGACTGGTGTGCTGCAGTCCATGGGGTCACAAAAAGTCGGACACGCTTTAGCCAGTGAAGAGCAACAGCTACCATACTCAGAGGCCCTTCTGTTTATTCCCAGCACCTCTCATTGTCATCATCATCTCTAACCACCCCTCTACCCTACACACCCCGCCACACACACTTACTTTAGTCTCTAGTTACATCATAGCTCCTGCAGTTGCACAAGGACTTTCTCCCTCCAAACCAAAGGTGATCATAGGATGTAACTGCCAAAGGGAGCCCTTTTGAAAGCGAATGAGGATGCTATTGCAAACAACGCTGGGACTGCAGGCGTAAATCTGGACAGATTCCAACCCTCCTTAGCCAAGTTAATTTCTGCAGTTTAACAGCAGCTGCCTTAGAAGACCTTCACTGAAACTTTTGAGACTGGGTTATGCTGGTTTTCAGCTGCGGGTGATTCTGCCCTCCAGGGGCCATCTGGCAATGTCTGGAATTTTAGTTACCTGTTTGAGAGTGGGAGGGGCTTCTGTTAACTAGGTAGCCAGGGATCCTGCTAACACATCCTCCAATAAGCACATAGGCATGTTAGGATACAAATAAATACACAGGGCTGCAATAAGAAAGTACCAGAGAATAAGTGGCTTAAAAAGATAGGTTACTTTTTCACAGTTCTGGAGGTTGTAATCTGAGACTTTTGTCAGGGTCCTCTTTAAAGATCCCCATTTCCAAATACAGTCAGGTTCTGAGGCACTGAGGGTTAGGACTTCAGCATATTAATTTGGGCGGGGGACACAATTCAGCCCTTAACAGCCCCCCTCCCCCAAACCCAGCAGGGAATTTGATCCTCCTATCTTCAACAGTGTGGGGGTTGAGAGGCCCTGGTTAGGTGAT